TTCAGTAGAGGCCTGCTACCATTGTATTTCAATCATTTACAATCACACTCATTCATCAGGGAACCAATTTACATGGGAGGGATATGTGACTCATACAATTGCGACACACAGGGGGTGCCCGGGCAGAGGGCACAAAATGGAAACTTGACATGCCTTTGGTTCACTTAAAAACACAGGCCTAAACCATACAATATTCATATGAAACAATAAAAATTAATACAAAAATGATAATAGTACAATATAATACAGTGGATATCCAAAACCAAAAACTTGCTACCAAAAATAAAAATGTTTAAAGCTTATCCTAAGTTTGAGCTCACTTACTTATCTATAGGGAATAGAGAGGGAGAAAAAAAATCTGAAATGGTTGGGGAAGGGGAGTGAATGCAATAAAAGAAAAGAAAAGAAAAAGAAAAACTGGGGGTTTTGCTACAATATAGTACATTTGGCGTATTTAATATAAGGTCTTCCTTTATAATGCCTCCTTTCATGCCTGTGCTCTGTTTAATTGGACCTCATTATTGGTTTAACTGGACATGTTGATTGCTTCCTTCGCTTTGCTGACCAACCTAGCTGTTACATCTGCAAAGGTTAATTCTGTAGTCACTCAGAAACAGACTTTGGGAAATTCTGCTTTGCCCATGCTTCTGCAGCTTGGCTTAGACCCCTTGAAAATGGACAAAGCTTGCAACCAGGGCCATCCCTTGGGTTTGGTGAATCAGGACGACTGCCCTGGGGCCTCCACTTTGTGGAGGCCCCGCAGAGCTGGGTGGAGTAGCCATTGCCCCTCCCATGGGGCCCACCCCAAGGTGGTGCCACAGAAAAAGCATGGAGAACCCCCACCTTTGCAGGGATATCATAGCCCTGCACAGTGTTAAGGAGATGCAACAACATGTGTTCTAAGATGCAGTACAAAGCAGGAGGTAAATATGTTGAAAACCTCTGCGCCAAGGTCAGAGGGGAGATCAGCAGTAGGGATGTCATGGTGGGTATCTGATATAGCCCATTAAACAGGAAGGAGAGATCGACAAGGCTTTTTGAAACTACAGACAGAAATTCCCAAATTGCAGGAACTGGTTCTTTCTTCTTTGGGGGGGGGGGCATTAATTACCATGACATCCGCTGAGAAGGAAACACAGCAGTTTACAAGCAATTGAGAACATTCTTGGAGCAAAGTTGTGAATAACATTTTGGTACAGGTAGTGGAGAGGTAAACTAGAGGAGAAGCTCTTCTTAACTTGCTGCTCATAGACAGGGAGAAATTGACTGAGAATGTGAAACTGGAAGGTAACTTGGGTGATAGGGACCACAAAATGGTAGATTTCAAGATCCTAAGTGAAAGAAGGAAGGACAGTAGCAGAATAAAGGCATTGAACTTCCAAAAAGCAAACAAACTCAGGGATCTGGTGGGCAAGATCCCCTGGCATGCAAGTCTGGGGGGAAAGTGAATCCAGGAGAGCTGGCTGTACATTAAGGAGGCCACACTCAGGGTGCAGAAGCAAGCTATCCTGATGCAATGGAAGAATGGGAAGTGCAATCATACACCAGTCTTACTAGTATTTAATTTTTTCAGTAAATTAAACCTCAAAAAATAATCCTACAAAAAGAGGAAACTTTGTCATATTACTAGGGGACAGTATAAGAGTGCTGCACAGGTGTGCAGAGAAAAAAATAGGAAATCTAATGCACAATTTGAGATGCAACTGGCAAGGGGAATAAAAGCAAGATTTTAAAGAAAGAAGTTATAAGTATGTCAAAAGAGGAAGACCAAAGAAACTGTAGGTCCCTTGTGGAATGCAGAACGCAATCTAGTCATGAATGACTCAGAGAAGTATTTAATGCCTTTTTTTCACTTCAATCTTTACAAATAGGGTTAGCTATGAGATGATGAGTGCAATTGTCAGGAAGGATAGTGAAGAAGTTAAACAGCCTAGAGCAATGGCTGACAACCTTTACAGGTCAGAATAATCTGGCATTGGTTCAACCTGGGTTGGGTAGCTTCAGCAGCAGCACATCAGTAGCATGGGCCTATCTCTGAATACACACCAGGGTCAGGCAGGTGGGAGCTGCTCCCACACTGCTGCCACTTTTCCTGGACCCCTGTTACTTAATTGGGGTATTAGCACATCTTCCAGCCAGTGGGGAGTTGTATCAGAGGCAGGCAGCTAGAACCTACATCCATTTCTTACAGCCCCACCCTGCCTCTCACCTGTGGTATGGGTACAGCTGGAAGCTGTCAGGCCCTGATGCAGCTCCTTACAGGCTGGAAACTGCACCCACACCACAGCCTTGGGAAGGGTAGAGTGGGGCAGGAAGAAGCAGTAATAGCATGTTTGCAGCTGGAAGTTTCCTGGCACCAGTGCAGCCCCTTACTGTTTAAGGCTGCAGGTGTGAACATGGGCACAGGTGCAGCCCTCTGGCTCTACAGCCTTGATCCAGTGGTTCCCTGGGTTGCATCTGGCTTCAAGGCTGTATGTTGCTACCCCATGGCTTAAAGTAGTGGAGGTACAGGTTATACATTATTTAGAGAAGACAGATGCTTTCCAGTTGTTAGGGCCAGAGGGAATACACCCTAGGGTACTGAAATAATTGACTGAGGTAATTTCAGAGTCATTGAATATCCCTTTTGAGAACTCATAGCAGTTGGGTGAAGTCTCAGAAGATTGGAAAAGGGCCAATATATCACCCATTTTTAAGAAAAAAGAAATAGGATCTAATGAATTACAGACTAATCCACCTTATTTTATACCTGGAAAGATCATAGTACGGATCCTTGAGGGATCTAATTTGAAGCACTAGAGGAGAATAGGGCGATGAGGAACAGTCAGCATAGACTGACCAAGAACAAGTCATGCCTGGCCAGCCTGATTCCCTTCTATAAGAAGGCGATGTTCTTTAGATGTGAGCAGACCAGTGAACCTAATATACTTCGGAAGCACTTTTGATACTGTCTTCCATAACATTCTCATGGACAGGCTAAAACTAGATGGAAATACTATAATATGGATACAAAACTGGTTGGATCATCATGTTCAATGACTAGTCATCAATGACTTAGTGTTTCATTGCAAGGAGGGAACATGCCAGATTCCTCAGTAGGGTTGTGTGAAATTTCGACGGCCATTTCATTTCGACACTGCTTCGACTCACTTCGAGGTTGAAACAGCAAAATCAAAATGAAACAAAGGACATCAAAATAGCCTCAAAACAAAATGAGGCTAGTCAAAATGTTTTGAAAGTCAGAAAGTTTTGACCATAGCACTGGGGATGGGAAGTCAATCCAGCTGGGCTGACTTCCTGTCCCTGTCCCAAGATCTGGCAGGGGGCAGAAAATCAGCCCAGCTGGGTTCCCTCTCCATCCCCTGTGCTAGATCGCATGGGGGATGGTGAGGCAGCCTAGTTGGCTGCTTCCCTGCCCCCCATGCAATCTAGCATGGGGGATGGAGCTCTGCCCCCCACGCGATGTGAGGAGTCAGACTCCCTGCCCCCACCTGGGGTTGGGAACTCACCCAGGTGGGCTGAGTTCCTTTCCCCAGCCCTGTGGTCAAACAGGGTCAAAACAGCCTCACTGTTTAGACAAGGCAAAACAGTGAGGCTGTTTTGACTCAAAATTATATTCTATACAAAACACTGTTCCATCCAGACCTTGAAATTGAAGTTGGAATGGAACAGTGCTATTTTGTATAGCTATATTCCTCAGGGGATCTGTTCTGGGTCTGTTATTGTTTAACTTCTTCATGAATGATTTGGACAATGGGATTAAGTATATGCCTGGCAAATTTGCAGATGATACCAAATTGGGTGGAGTTGTAGAAAAGTTGTGGAATCTTTATCCCCAGAAATTTTCAGCAGCAAGCTATACAAAAATATGGCTGAGATACTTCAGTCAGGGATGACTCTGCCTTGAGCAGGGGGCTGGATTGGGTGACTGCCTGAGGTCCCTTCTGGTCTTACTTTCCTATAATTCTTGGTGGAGCAAGAGATAATGGGCAGGGCTTGTTTCACAGGAGCACATATCTATGTGTATACATGTCTTTGCACATACTTTTTTTCTTTGTCTAGAGGGAAAGTCTATTAAATTGCAAGTATTTTAGGGATGACCCTATATTTGGATTAAAAAAAATATGTCAAAATTCTGGTGTGTTTATATCTTGATTATCTTTTCAGAATCTAATAGAGTGTCAGTTAGTTCATAGATTCATAGATGCTAGGGTTGGAAGGGACCTCAACAGGTCATCAGGTCCAACCCTCTGCCTAGGCAGGAAAGAGTGCTGGGGTCAGATGACCCCAGCCAGGTGCCTATCCAGCCTTCCCTTAGAGACCCCCAAGGTAGGAGAGAGCATAGTTGTGTTAGTCTGGAGTTTGGCAGGGTATGTAGGGATGGGTATCTAGTAAAAAATAGAAATGCAATTTGAGAATCAGCCTCTGAACTTTACAAGCTTATCAAAAGACAGGACTACTTGGATCTTAGATTTTGGTTTGCCTCACCTTAAGAAATCAATTTATTTATTCCATTGAAATATGACCCAGGCTCCATTCACCTCTTTTTTCCCCCCACTTGAGTTAGAGGTGGCACAGCAGATGGCTCTAGCAGTTCTATTTGTGATTCTGCCCAGTGCTAATTAACCTTCCTATCTGACAAATGACATGCTATAGATAGATTAATTTTACATGTCATAAAACAGACAGGTTTGGTTAATTAAGGAAATTTTCATTCTGGGGAACCAGCCTAAAAATGGATGCTGGTTATGAGAGACATTTCTACAGCTTAGAATCATAACAGCACAGAAGTCTTTATGTTAGCATGTATCCACTGTAATTGCTTGTAACCTTCTGCCATTCCTTGATCTAAGGATTTGAAATAAATAGATGGTGCTAGCTACCTCTAGAAGTGTTATGTAACCTCACATAGAGTGGTAACTATACATGATGTTACCAGATTTGAGAAGAAATGACAAAGGAAGCACTAATTAGAATTTTTTTGTGATTTTATTTATATTATTTAGGTAGCACTAATTACCACTAGTTCACAGTCAGATTCAACTGTCTCTCTTACGAATACTACTATGCATAGTAATGAGATTATATATCTTCTTTCTTGTAAAATAGCATTTGTCTCATTTTACAAGACAGAAAATATATATAACTATCTGATACCCAGTGTAGGATCTGTTTTAATTGAGCCACATTTAGTAAAAATGTGAACATTCATTTAAAATTTAACTTAGAAATAATAATACTTTGTATGTCTTAAACTCAGCAGTTAGGTACTGATTTATGATGATTGCAAAACAGGCTTAATGAGAAATTCCTAAAGAAATGTGCTCCATATTTATTTCTCACTACTGCTATTCTTTTGCTCCAGAGAATGATATGGCTGGTTGTTTAATGCTTTTGTCCCATCATGACCTTAATGAACTCTTAGATTTATAAGTCACAATATGCAGACTCTCTTCATTACCATTTAATTCATATCTCCGTAAGAAGAAATGGAGTAATCTCAGCATGTACTGTAAGAGTTAATTACGGCTAAGTACAGATGTTCAAAAAGCCCCTGGTGGAAGTGCTCTACAGTATTTTATGTAAAGACTGTAAGAGCAGGAGGAAACCAAACAGTTATTTGCTGTTCGGTAGTGGGGAGGTAGGGGGCTTAAAGCCTTCCCATACTGGTTACTGGGAGTGTTCCTGCATGCCTCCCAGGTGGCTATCAGTGTCACCTTTTCCCAGCCCTACCCCGCATGCCAACTGGCAACTGTAAGCAACTGGGAGGGGAGACCTGGACCCTTTCCACCCCTTCCAGAAAGTGGTGTGCTATGGGGCCAGGGCTGCTGTGGGGAGAGAGACCGCAGATCCCTTCCCCCATGGTCCTCCAGCCAGGCAATGGCACACTGCAGGGCCAGGGCTGCTGCAGGGAGAGAGACCCTGGATCCCTTGCCCCACAGCTGGACAGGCCTCCCAGCCAACCTGGAGACATTAGTCGGGGGGAAAGGGGTCTGGACTCTGTTCCCAAGGCAGCCCCAACTGGGCAGTATGACATGCCACAGGCCTGGGGCTTCTGCAGGGAGAAAGAACCCAGACCCCTTCCCCTGCATTGTCCCTAGCCAGGCTGCAGTACACCGTAGGGCCAAGGTGTCTGCTGGGAGAGAGATCCTGGCTCATGCTCCCTCCTTCTGCCCCTCCCCCCCAGCTGTCTGTGGCTTAGGCAGAACTTATTGCTTTGACCAAGGCTTGAGTGGAGCCCAGTGCAATGTCACCTGGGATGGTGGTGATTGTACTCTAAGTTGAAAGAGAAATGGCACAGATATTTGATAAAGCACTCTTCATCCATCATAGGTTAACTTAGAGTAATCCACCATTTTTAAAATACTTTAAGAGGTGTGAATATCTGTTTACTTATGTCTTTGGAGTACTTTCTGTTCACTTAAAGTATGATAGGTGTAACATCTGTATGTAGCCTAAAAGACAAAAATAAGGACTCTCCAAACATATTAACAGTCTTTCAGCCAAAAGGATCACAAAGTACCCTCCATTCAACATAGATGTGCTCCAGATCTCACTGAAGTCACTGTAAAGGCCCCCACTGACTTGGGTAGGTTGTGACAAGACACTAGTATATATAATTTCTTTGATGCTGAAGTAAATTTTTGAAAAAATGTGACCTTGCTAGAGGGAGAATTTAATTACCTCCAATTGCTATATTTTCAGTTTCTTAAATCTATTTAATTTGATTAGGCAAGTTTTACAGCATATAGTCTCCAAGCCAAATGTTTTACATTTTACTGTTTTCCCAAATTAGATCATGCTCAATATATAAACAAAAGACAAAAATGAAAGAGAACTAAAAAAGATAATTTTGCATCAACTGGAAAAAAAAACAAATATGTCTTAATGTTTTGATTCTGAGTAATGAATGGACAAACCCATTCATTAGCCACATGAATAATTGTTTTCTACATAAGAAGTTAAATCTATTTGTGTGTGTGTGTGTGTGTGTGTGTGTAAATGTGTAAGATATGCTGTTAATCTACTTGACTTATTCCTTTTACTACCACTTTGAACTTGTGATGTGACATTTCTTTGGTGATTTATTTCTGCATGTATTCAATCAATTGCATGGGAGATGGTTAACTCCCCTAAAGTCAATGGAAAGTCTCTGAGTTTTGAATCATGCAGAGGGTCATACTATTCCTATAGCTTTCTAGACCATAGGAAAGAGTTACCTATTTGATTTCTACTGCACATATATGTTATTGTAAAGATTGAATTGTTCAACATTTTAAAGAACAGTATTTCTTAAGGAAAAATGGATTTTAGGACAAAATGAATATTTCTTAGAAAATTTTCATTCTGATCAAAAATTGTTTCACAATAAAAGACTTTTAAAAACCCACTTATTTCCTTGCACTTGCCCCTTAAAAATAAATTTAAAGAACATAATCTTGATTTTTATTTGCTATTTTTTATTTAAAATATTTTTGTGGGTAATTAAATATACCTTTAAAAATTACCAGCATTCTAGACCAGCTGTTGTAAGTGTATTTATGCACATATAATTTGCCTTCATCAATTTTCTAATTTCCCTCCTCAATTTTCATTTGCATTTCTACTGTTCCAAAAGTGCAGTTTTTTCCCCAAATTCTCCCATACTAGAGAATAGAGTAAAAATGTCACAAGATTTGCATGGATGATTTACTTCTTTCAATTGGCCTAAACTTGGTAGTTTTTCTAGATGTTGACATTTGTAATTAACGTTATTTTCCAGTATTAGAGTCACTGTGAAAATATTTTAGTCTTATTTGAAAAAAAGGGAAATGTAGTGTCCCTTTCTTGACCTGAGCCCTGAATGGTGACTGGTGAAGCATCCAGCTGGTCTCTGCAAATTTTGAATGCTGGCTTGTGTGGTTGGCTCAATCACTGTCTGTATTCAATTTAACATGATACGTGCATTAGAAAATCAATAATGGCAGAACTAATGGAGGTTGTAAACTGACCTGACCTCCATGACCCAAATGTTTTGGTTAGGGTCATTCTGTGCCGGGTCAGAAGGAAATCTAGTAGATAAGGAACAACCTTGGATTATATGAATAAGAGCATTTTTTAAAGAAAAGAATGAAGAGATTCCTGTTTCACTTACTTCCAGTAGAAGATAACTGACTGTATACTAAGAGTCACATGTCTAGTATACCAGAGAGTTTTCTTTATCAAATGAAAGTCTTGGGAATATGGTTATTTTTCCTTAATGCCAGAAGTTCATATTATTTACTAGGTAGTCTTCTGGTTTGACAATGAATGACCTTATTCCTAACATTCTGGCTGTGCAGCTCACACCCACAGGTTAGCCTTTATTACTTCTGCCTCTATTGATTTTTCTAATGCATAAACCATGTTAAATAAATAAAACCAATATTTCTGCAGACCTGAGTTAAAAAAGGTTTACATAGAACACAATGTTTTCTTAACCTGCAGAGTTGGGTAGGTGAAAAGCTAAGTAGTCAAGCAAAAACATCTAAGGGAAATGATAATGAACAAGCATTTTAATAAGAATTATAAGGAAAAGAGAGAAATCAGAAATGGTAAGGCATTCTTGCTGTAATCCAGGTATGTGTCCTGCTCACTGCAAGCTTGGGGGTTAAAGCCAGTTTTGTGTCTCTTTCTCTGATCCTAACACTCTTTAGCGACCCATCATTACATGCAATACAACAAGCTTAGGCTTCAGGGTGGGTGAGAGCAAATGTTACTAACTATAAATACTTTGTGCCACTTTGCTACATCCAGGATTTACTAGATGATGTTGAAAATCTGGCACTGGAATATTATTATACTTCTGACCCAGCAATGCAATAGGAAATGAGCAGAAGGCTTAGCACATTTTGAGGAAAAAATATTTTCTTTGCATAATATTCTTTTTAGATAATGGTAAACTTTGCAAATTTTCAGCAGTAAATACTTAAATGATAATGGAATTTTGTATACATCTGTTTGCCTATGGGGGAAAAAACTCTCTCATTTATATGTACAAACTGTCAGCCAAAAGGTCTGATTTGATCACAAATCAGTGTGCATACCATTTTGGAAACTGATTTTTGGCACTAGTGAAAAAATGAGCATAATGTATTGTTTAAAATGGAAGTATAGAATTAGCTTGAGGAATGGAATAAAATACTGTCCCCTTTAACAGTTTGAAAATTGTTATTTAATTAAATATATTAAATCAATTGGTTTTCTGCTTAGTAACATAATAATAAGCATGATAAAGACATATTGAGATTGAACTAGTTAATAATATAATCTAATTAGGATTTGTGTTACAAACCAATTACATTAGTTTAATGGGAAAAATGTAATAGAACTCCTGAATTTTTTCTGTTAAGTTAACAATATAGACTTTAATGAACACCTTAATTAGACATCATTATTGATGCAAACATTTTAGAAATAAAATTCAGTTTCATCCTTCCCACCACACATCCAGAACTATTTAACTGAAAGTATCCTTTTTATGATGACTAGAGGACAAATTACTTTTACAACTCCCTGGTTCTTCTGAAGACAATATACTGAAAGACAGTTACTCAAAATGACCCAATTATATGTGGGAAGGTGGAGAAGAAAGACGGGATGACCTAACAGATATTTCACTAATGTCAATGAAATTCACATCCTGCCCTTGGCTGGGGTCTCTGTTTCCTATGTGCTTCATAAATGTGCCCATTTTCTGAACTAATATTTTTCCACCTGCAACAACACTCAACACTCAACTATGAAGAGAAGGTCAGAGAAGGTTACAGTAGGACTAGGTTGTAAGAATAGAATCAATCTGGAATCTACTTTTATCCTCGTGTGCTAATAAGAGGTCCATTTTTCATTTTCCAGTTGCCTCAAACTTTAACCTCACAACACTCTGGAACAAAGGGAAATTGTATTATCTGTATCTTACAAACAGGGACTCCAGGCACAGAAAAAACTAAAGGCTAATTCCCGTTTCACTTTACACACACAAATGGCAGTTACCCAACAACGTAAATGCTATTTTTAGCCCTTATGCACAGTTACCAGTCCAGTCTGGGAATGCAAACATCCATGTGACTGCTCAGTAGAGCCATGCACTGGCTGGTCAAATATTCAGTTCTGTCATCCAAGTACATTCTGAAATGTAGCTGGGCAAAACCCTAGTGGGTGTCCTTTCACAGCACCTGAAGAAGTGAGATTCAGCCCAGGAAAGCTTGTGATATGTATACATACTTGGCTTAGTTTATAAGATACAAATCTACCTGACCTTCTAATGAGTGTTAGATGCCAGGGGAGCAATTGATGGCCCCATTTTTTTAGCCCAATCAGCTAGTGGTTAGGGTACCTGCCCAGAAAGCAAGACACTCAGTTTTAGGCCCTCCTCACCCAAATGGGTTTAAATCTCAAAAACTGCAGTGTGGTGGCTGGAAAACTACCATTTGGGTGCTTAAAGTGAAATGGGAGTCTGACCTAGATTAATAGGATTCTGACCTTTAATCTTGGACAAGATCTGTCCAAGATTAAAGGCCAGACAAATCTGTGTTAGTGTCCAAAGAATGGAAATGGAGAGAGGCAACGTCTCTCTTCATTTTGCTTCTTTCATGCAAGAGTGAACTGTATGAGTGTTCTAACATTTAGGGAGCTATTGGAAAAAAACATCTCTAAAGAAGAGTGCCAAGTCCCCTCTCATATTATACTGGCTAGAGGAGCAGTGGGTACTTTTCCATTTCCCCAGGCAGTGCAGTGGTTATATATTCAAGAAATTTGTGAAGCTTGGGCTTCTTCAGACTTGATGCCTCAGCAGAGACTTGATGCCTCAGCAGCAGCTCTGCATTGACCCTAATAAAACTTATATATAAATAAACTCCATCTTTCCAGTGGAACTTTATATATATATATATATATATATATATATAGTGAAAAGTGAAATATATATTATTCTCTAATGGAGTTTTAACGGTTATTCTCTCTAGGACTTTTGCTATTAGTAACAAAGTAATGGCTGGTATATAAATGATACATTTACATAATAATAATTTAAACTACTAGTAACCAAGTGACTATATACACAGCTATGTTAATAACTGGGTTATTGTCAGCCTGACTAGATGGTTTGTTAATGCATTGCTAATGTTTTGCTATACTTAAATATTTGTACAGGGGGTGGCAGAAATACTCGGTTCTTTCCAGTTACTTCAATACAGAAAATCCATTTGAATTATCTTTTCCAAATTGAAGTTTTGCCACATTAGATGTAGAATGCTTTGATGCCAAGTGATGATGATTTGAGCAGCAGGAAGTAAGAACTCTGGGAACTTGCTTCAGAGGAATTTGACAAGGTTGTTGGAAGGCAAGGTTGGTAGTGTTGGGGAATTCCTTTTTAGGTGTAGGTTTTTTCCTTTATTTTTTCTTTTCTTTTCTCTTCCTTTTTAAATTTTTTTTTGAAGACTCAGTTATAGTTGTTTGATCTCTCCTAGAGGTTCTGGAGTGGGCTGGTATATGGTCAGTTAAGGGTGGTGGGATCGTATGTGGCCAGTCAGGGATGTGCTCGGGTGGGGTTTCTCTTTTTGTAGGTAGATATTTGTGAGCTATTTAGGTAGCTTATTAAAAAAATAAGTCTCTTTTCCTGGTGGAGTAAAGGCAGTTTTAGATTGGTGAAGCAGATGTTGCAAATCTTGTCCTCAAAGCAGATGTGGTTGTATATGAAGGGCTGACCCCCAGAGGTCACAGCTTCCTTGGTGATTTGATTTGGAGGAAGTTATGAGGCTTATGGAGGTATGTGTGGCCATTTGTGGAAATTTTGTTTATGGTTGTTTGTTGGGTGCTATTACTAATGATCGTTGTGGTGATTGTGTTGATGGTGTAAGATTATTTCATAGAATGGTTGATAGAAAGATTGTAGTTGTTAATGTTGCAAGTAGAAATCAATGAAGGGTCCAGGTTTTTAGTCCAGATGATGGACGTGCCATCTGTGTATCACTGTAACAATTTTAATCTGGGAGCACATGAAATATAAAACACCTTTATCAAGGTGGCTCAGAAAAAGGTTTATGTTTGGGGTGTGGGGGCCCTTCATTATACCCATAACTGTGTCCATGTGCCTACATCTGAAAATATAGCAAATTTATTCTACAGGAACAAAGTACAAACCCATGTGTACCCTGGCCTATGTGCAGGGGCTTGGGTGCTGACATTCTGAGCCCTCCTACACCACATGCCTGACTCGAACCACAGGCTTGTCCCTGTCAGAGATCTTACCTGCCATGACTTGATAGAATATGATGACTAGAGACAGTCTAGTCAGGAACAGGCTCTGACGTATTCGGCACTTGTCTGGACAGGGATCCTCACTGCCTGCCCCCGTCCACTGTTACTTTAGTTGTGCCTTGTGGCTCTGGGCCCACTATTCAGGGCCAGCGGCTTCAGGCACATCATAGTCTGTCCCAGGCCAATGCAGCTTGCAGCTGCTAAGCACTGATGCCATTTATCCACCTCAGCAAGCACTTCCTGGCTGAGCTGAGAGCCAGTCCTTTGCCCCCTGACCTGTTATCTATGCCAATGTCTTCCAATTACTCTCCAGGTTTTTCTCCACCTCAATCTCTGTGCAGTTTTAGCTCATTTCCCAGAGTCAAGTCTCAGCAGCAGTCATAAGGGGCAGTCTGATTCAGGGTGCATGTGCTTTGCCAGGATTTGCTCCACCAAAGGCAGTTATGCCAGAATCCCTATCAAAAGTAAAGAAAGCAAGCGTAAGTCTGGGAATCTAGCTGGTTCATCCATATGATGCCTTCCATCATCCTTACATAGCCTCTGCTTTCACTTCTCTCCATGGTGCGGACACCAGCCACCTGCTAAAGCTCCTGGGGGGCTTCTTACTCTCTGGTCCCGGAACATTCGGTTTTTTGTTTCACCGAATACATATATATTGGTATTCATTTTAGTATTGATAAATTGGTATTCATACTCTCTGGGTGCATCTACATGTTCATTTAGGCACAGTCATTACTGAACATATAATAAAGTACTTATATAATCAAATACGAAATAAATTCACAGTAACTGGAGTTACTGTGCCGTAGTGCTGGTGAACACTTTTTAGTGATGCTATTGTGCAGTAGCCTAATATTATTGTTCAGTAGAATATTAGCACTGTGATGTGTTACTGCACAGTGTTATTAGGCTACTGTGGAATTAGCATCTTGTGTAGACATACCCACAAGGTGTGTGTATAGAAGATGTTTACTACATAGTAGATTAATTAGCTGTGCACTAAACATCTCAGTGTCTATAAGCACACCCCAATTAGGCTGGAGTAAATAATTTACTCTGCAGCAGGATAGTATTTGTATTTACAACCTCTGTAAAAAGGGTAAAAACCTCTGCAGTAGAGCACATTTGGATGCTGGAGGGGCTTACTGATGCCTCAGTGTGGGAGCTGCCTGCCAGCTAGCCCCATGCCAAAGCTCCCTTGTGCCCCAGCCAGTTTCTCTGCAGCACATTGAGCTGGGAGGGGAGGAGCAGCCCTGGGCTGGCAGGCTGACCTCTGGGGATCCCTGCCAGTTGGAGCTGATCTGACCCAGCTCCATGTGCCATGCATGAATAAACCCTGAAGCTGATTGCTCTGGAGTTGATTGCTCCTGGGTACACATTCAAACAGCACACCAAGGAGCAATTAACTCTGGAGCAATAAGCTCTGGATTTTATTCATGCACAGTAGTAGTATGTGTAGACGTATCCACAAACATTGATGCTCCTAATTATAGACAACTCTTAACAAGGTGTATGAAAGGAATGGGAACAGAGAGAAAGAGATAATAAACTGCAAATTGTTTGTCAAAATGAATTCAAGGACAAGATAAAATTATGAAGAAAATAACCTGTGTTTGTGGTGAGGGGAAAAACCTAACAAAAGATCAATGCTGTATGTTTCTCACGTATGTATTGTGTTTTTGTCATGTGTCTTGTCTGATGAAATGCAATGGGCCATACTGGGAAAACATCATAACTTTTGCTTTGCCTTTGTGTGAGCTGCTTCATGCAATAATGATTGTATAAAAGTGAACATGTGCTATCACTTCAGAAGATTTTGATCTAGACCTTTATTCAAGTCTTAATAATTCCTTCCTTCTTTTATTCCACTTTGGATACTTCGGACCGGGCTCACGTTGAGCTGTGTGGGGTGATCCTGAGCATAAGACTCCCTGGCTCCCTATCTCTTTTTTTCTCTGACTCCCACCTGTTTAAAGGTCTCTTGCTTCTGTTTATCTCCCTTTCTGATTCTTTTTTTCGCATTTTTGCACTGTTTTTTTCTTCTTTTTCTCTGCACTCTGTCCCCTCCCCCTTCACTCCCAGTTTCTTTCTCCACAAGTGACTACTTCACAGCTTTTTTCTTTACTGTTTCTTTTTCTTTCTTTATATCTTTTTTGCTCATTTGTTGTGGGGAGTTATCTTTTTCTATATCTTGCCTTTCGAGGGGTGCTCTTAATCCATCCCCTTTTTATCTTTTTTTCTGTTTTTGTTTTTTTCCTAAATCTCATAAGCCCCAGCCCCAACTCTTTTCACTGCACCTCTTTCCCCTTCCCATTTAGATTTTTATGGCTGCATTCCCAAACACTTATCTCTGTAGATAATATGCACATTGCGGGCGTACACTATCTTGTCACACCCCTAGACACCCAGGCAGTGAGGGTGGTGATTTCCAATGTGACTGACCAGGACCTGGCCAAGGAACTCGAGCCCTGTGGGGTTCCTATGAGTTCCTTTTGCTGGCTGATGATTGGAAGCAAGGACCTGAAGCTGAAGCATGTTTTTGAAGGCAGGTTTTCATGCAACTCAGTGAGGGCCCACAGTCTCTACCTTACTCCTTGAATCTCATGCATGACGGGCAGGGGTTTGTGTTTTATTTTTCCTTTGGGGAGACCACATGCTTCCATTGTGGTAGCTCTCCCCACCTGGCAGCACAGTGCCCATAGAGGAGAGCAGTTGGTACATTGGTGATTTCAGCAGTGCTGATAGATGGCACATCCACTTCTGGGATACAGGCCCTGCCCAATGAGGCTGAGAGCTCTTCCCAACTTCCTTTCACCCCTGTTCCATCAGAAGGGGTGGGGTCTCCAGTGTGAGAGCACCATCCAGCGGTCCTCCCCTGCCCATTCCACCTATGGTGTGCACCCCCCCAGTGTAGAGCCCCACCAAGTGAAGGGACTGATGCCTCCACTTGCCCCCTGCCTCCCCTAACTGCCCTGGCTGGGGTGGCCAGTGACTGTGGCACCAAGGCCCTTTTGGTTGATGGGGCTCAGGCCTCCTTCCAGCCGTGCTCCACCTCAGCCTTGCCTGAGATGGCTGGCCCTGGGGAGGTGGGCTGGGAGCAGTCCGGCCAATCCCCTATGAAGGGTAGGTCACCTGCCACTAGGAAGAAGAAAAACAAAGAGAGGAAGGTGAAGGGGGCCTCTTAGGTCACCCTATCACTGCTGGGACCGTCCTCAGCTGGTGCCGGAGTGGCCCCTGCTGGGGAGCCTGACTCTGCTTCAGCTGTTATGCCAGTGAAACTTGCACATCACCATGAACTGGGATGACTTGGAGGTGGAGGAGCCAATGGTGGGGGTCCCCAATGCCTTCCCTGTCTCCCAACTTTTGGAGTTGGGTGGCAGTAAGAGTTACGCAGAATGCCTCTCTTCTGGAGGCCTGACCCAGGGAGCAGCAGAAGAGTCTGCTAACCTCTTGATCCTGTCCCAGCCTACTGAATTGGATGAGGAAGCTAGTGAGATGGAGATGCAGATTTCTGAGTGACCTTGAGAGCAGGATGGTCTCTCTCCCTGCAAGAAGGCAGGGATCACTGTCTTGATGCCAATCTTCGACCTGGACAGTGCGAGGAAGCTGATGTGTCTAGACATTGAGGGTATAGACACTGTGTTTGTGCATAAGCTCCCACCTGGGGTGCGGCCTTGCCATGCTTCTGTCAGAAATGTCCAGCCCATATTGGCAGATCCCCCCTGGTCGGCCCCAACTATGGGGGTCTCCTGGCCTTTTTGAAACAGACCAAAGGACAGAAGAATGTAGCAGGGTGCATCACCCAGTGGTGTGTAGATCCTACACTTTTTGTCAAGGCTGTCAGAGCTGCCTTGTTTGAGGTGGCTGGCCCCAGGGAGGTGGGCCGGAAGCAGCCCGGGCAGTCCCCTATGAAGAGTGGGTGGTTTGGCCAGCTCTTTGTCAAGGCTGGCCAAACTTATGCAACAGGATTTAGGCACTTGGCAGATGGTTTACAGTATGGAGAATCTCACACAGCATGTGAGTGATGAGTGGGGGCTTCAGGGGGTCCCTGGAGTAGAGTAGGGCATGATAGGCCTTCTCCAACCTGTCTCTGCTTTTTTGCTCTGTTCTTTGGTGCGCGCTCTTTCACCTACACCTTACTTCACTCTTCCTCTCACATACCCACGTCCATGGCAGCCATGACCATTGACACTTTCAACATCAATGACTGTTGATATCCAGTGAAATGGGAGGCTGTCCTGGTGCTCCTGTTCCAGAAGTGGCTGGACATCACCTTCCTCCAGGAGACACATTCCAATGGGGTTAACCAGGTGGCTTGGCACGCTGCCTGGTGAGGCCACTCGTTCCTGAGTCATGGCACCAACCTTAGCGCCGGGGTCATGACTCTTCTATCGCCACAACTATAGCATATTACAGCAGTGGCATGGGAAGTCATCCCCAGCTGCCTGCTGAGTGTCCACATCACCCTACTGCTCATCAGTGTCTACGCATCCACTGATGGCCAGGAGAGGGTGGCTTTCTTCGGGACCTTGGCCACCCTACTGCATGATGCTAGTGAGGATGATGACCTGCTCCTCAAAGGTGGGGACTTTAACTGCACCATTGATGCCTTGCTAGACTGTACAGGTCCTCAGCCTTACCTGCGCTCAGCCCACAAGCTGTAGTCTGCCCTGGAGACTGCAGGCCTTGCTGATGTCTGGCAAACCCTGCATCCTGACGCACACCAGTACACCTCAGCCTGCATGAGTGCCAGTAGTCTCACCATGGCCCACCTTGACCACCTTTATGTCACCAGGTACCAACAAGGTCCTGCTGATCAGCTGCTGCTGAGCGGTGCTATGCTGCTGCCCAAGAAGGGAGACCTTCACTGCGTTAAGAATTGGTGGCTGGTCTCCCTGCTGTGTGTGGACTGCAAGATTCTGGCCAAAGCTCTGGCAACCTGCTTTTGTGCCATCATGGCCTCCATTACTGGGCCTGAGCAGAGCTACTGTATGCCGGGGAGGACCATACAAGACAACCTGTTCCTGCTGTGTGACCTACTCACATCTAGAGAACTCTTTTGCCTAGACATTGACTTCATCTCTCTGGACCAGAAGAAGACCTTCAATCATGTGGGCCTACCTCTTCCAGACCCTGGAGGCCTTTGGCTTCAGGTCTCTCTTCACTGGGGCCTTCTAGGTCTTGTATCAAGACACTTCCACCCTGCTCAAGGTGAACAGCATGCTCTGCACCCTGTTCCCTGCACACAGGGGCATCCATCAGGGCTGCCCCCTGTCAGGTATGCTCTATGCCCTGTCCATCCAGCTGCTGCTGTATGGGCTGCAGTGCTGCCTGAGTGGTGTGGCCTTGCCATTGGCCACAGGCCCCCATTGGCCCACTGCTCCAGCTGTTGGCCTATGCAGCTGACATGACCATCTTCCTTAACACTGAGGAAGATGTGTGGGCCCTAATAGGTTGCCAGTTAGCCTATGAATGTGCCTCATTGGCCCATATCAACTGGGCCAAGAGTGATATCCTGCTGCTTGGTGCATGGATCAGCATGACTCCCCCAGATCTGCCTGGGGACCTCACCTGCTGCCATGAGGGCCTCAAGATTCTGAGAGTGGTGCTGGGGCCAGCGAACTTCATGGCATGCAACTTGGACAGCCTTGAAGAAGGGGTGGAGGCCTGCCTACAGCACTGGCACTGGTGCCTTGTCAGGTATTGCAGTCCCTTGCAGACCTGTAGG